TCATTAATTTATAAAAAAAAAATTCAAATTCATTCAGGGAATTTTTCCGGTAATTGGTATTGAAATCAATATATTTTTGTAACCATGAGCTCTGAGAGAACTTTAAGATTCTATGAATTCTAGTAATTTTCAAACCTAAACTACAATATTAATTTAAATTCGTATAATGAATGACGTAATTTTTTTTTAAGTTTAACGTCGGCAAAAAATTTGGTAACTTTGATTGACCGTTGGGGGGAATTATATGCTCTGGGCACAATGGCAAATCTTTATGATCTTCATGCAATTCCTGTGGGTACTCCGAATGAACTTCCAAAATGTATCCAGTCTCTGAGTCATCTGGAATCTTCAGGACGTTCGGGGATGACCAATCTTCCATTCAACAGAAGTTTCCATTCGGCAAATGATGACTCATTGCTGCTCCAGATAAGTTATTCACATCCAGATATATCAAATACGATTTTTCTTCTTCAGAGTTATACTCATCAGCTCCCATGTAGTGGTTATTTGCCCTTACATATCGGTTTGAACACTGCGACAGTCCCGCTCTAATGCCTTTTTCAATGAAAAGGAGCATCTCAGGGTCTTGGAATAATTCCAATTGAACTCCAGTCATTTTTAACATTGCATCAAACGCCAGCCCTGGCGCTGTATAATAATGAAGGGGATCCAAGTTGTATGAGGAGAAACGACTCCATCGAAAATTCTCGAAAATATCAGCCAGTAACAAGACGTCAGTTTTCAGATATAAATCCGTGTATTCACCGAGTTTCTTGATGTCGAAATTTCTCCATAGATCACATCCATGATTGTAATCTTTATCTGATATATTCTCATCATTCAATCGAGAATAAAAGTCTTCTTTCCGAGGTAATTGGCGTTCACTTAATTTTTCCCATGTATCTAAGTATTCGTATGGGAAAACTCCTTTGTGTGTAACGAGTTCAAATTATCGTTTTTGTGGGTAATGACTGGCTGCGATTCTCTTTTTTTCATCCTCTAAATATGACGAAAGTTTATCAATACTGCTTGCCATAAAACGGAATGAGTCAATGAATCTCAAGTGGACTCTTATCGATTTCACCGATTTCGTAAAGGTATGTGTATAAGGTAAATGTATTTCTCTTCATTAATTGGGAGTAATTTCACTGAACCTTGGAATTGTTTCGCAACAGATTTAATAAAAAAATGTCAGTCATAACCTGACAAATTGTGAAGAATTCAGATTACAACCGGGATGAGTATCACCACGATATTTGCCTGTGAAGTGGCAATGATCACGATGCTTCACTGCTTTTTCGGTGAATGCTCTGCCACAAACATAACAATTTTTAGCTGCATTAAATGCTCGCTCCATTTCAAAAGTCAAGTTCATCGGCTCATTTCGCTGTAATTTAGAATCGACTTTTATCGCTAAAAGACGTAACTGCTCAATGAACCACTGTATGCAGTCTTTCCCACGATAAGTAAAAAGTTCCGATTTTGAGTCATCATAATGGCAACACTGAATGGCACATGATTTTGGTATATTTTAGTGTTTTGATCATTGTCATCGGGCACTTTTTTCAATAGACACTCAGTATCAACATACACAACATAGGGAACATTCAGTTGGGTTTTGAAATTTTGAAATTTCAAAATTTTTCCAGCACTATGGGGAAAAATCTTTCGATACTTGTTGATTGATATACAATCGAGCATATGTTTAGTGTAGGCCTCTTTCTTGAAAAAGTGACACAAACACCTGTCACATATGAGTGTTTTATGTTCAGCTTTGGAAATTTGTGCACCAATTAAAGCAGATAAATTCGAGATCCATGTATAGTGATGAATTCTTTCCTGTTCACCATCGAGGATGTCTTCCTTTTCAATCATGAGAACGTGAATCGTTTTTCCATCCTCATGCAGTGCGGTTGGAAGATTTCTGCTCAAGTAAAGTGGCACAATCCATTTTTTTCTGATTCTTCGTCACTATCAATTCCATATACATTAATCGACAAATTCATTCATTTTCTCAAACTTTGGAATGTTTTTTAATGCCATGGGGTAATTGAAGTCACCAAAGATTTTCATGATAGTACTAAAAGGGGGGTATGAGTTAGGTCATTTCTTGTCTTGAACGTTGCAACGAGCGGCCATAATGGACCATAAAAAGCAGTAGGCATCGTCTTTATTTTGAACGTTCACGACAGTATGTTTCTTTTTAATCCATTCAGGTAGTTCAATAAAGCTAGATCCTCCCCGCAGTGGATTATATTTATTCATATTCACTTCTAAATTAATGATGTCAACTAATCTCCAGCCAGACTATCTTTCCTGGACTCATCCGCTTTCACTAGTTTTTCTCTTATGTGTTCATCAAACCACTGCCTCATATCAGTTGAATCAAGAATTATTTCATTTTTTGTATTGAAATATTTCTCTTCTTCAATAAGATGTTCATCTCGATTAATTTCATATTTTCATGTTAATACTACATTCACTTTCAAACTTCCTTCTTGTTTTAATGCATTTTTTAAACGTACAGAGAGCATTCGTCTAGCATCATCTAAAAATTTGGGTACGTCTGGATTTTTCACGTTAATGATTACACCGATCCTCATACGACCCTCAAAAACACTTTGTAATTCCTCCCATCGGGCACTATCAGTTAAATTACCCCTTAAGTCACCTCCAATCACTTCGAAGTTTCTGAATCTTGCATAGAACGCTTTCAATCATCCTAACATGTGAGTTAAACGTCTTTTTTCACTATGACTCGCACTCCTCTTCAATAATTCCTTTCGAATATCCTCTGATGTGATTAAGCCATTGTTGAATTTCCCTGGGTCTCCTGTTCATTTTCACTATTTCATACGCATCCTCCAATGACCTCAATAATCTTTTACAAGCGTTAGGATCCATGTTATTCACAATAACGGAACTAAAGGACTAGTGGAAAATCAAGGTGAAATTTGTTTATACAGATACATATGTGGGTGTGCCTGCGCTTGTACACTCTGTAAAATGTTACGTGATTGGTTGAAAAAGAATCATGTGACTCATGGAAAATGATTAAGAAAATAGCAACACTTTTTGTTCATGGGAAACAAAAATATCTGAAAACTCTACTCGATAAAATTTCATCTTTGCGGTGCGATAAGACATCAAAGGGTCCGAAAACTCTGCTCCAGTTTGTCAAACATCATGGTCTTAGGGTTGTGAGTACACGTACGTTCCCAGATAAACCGAGATNCTATGGGGAAAAATCTTTCGATACTTGTTGATTGATATACAATCGAGCATATGTTTAGTGTAGGCCTCTTTCTTGAAAAAGTGACACAAACACCTGTCACATATGAGTGTTTTATGTTCAGCTTTGGAAATTTGTGCACCAATTAAAGCAGATAAATTCGAGATCCATGTATAGTGATGAATTCTTTCCTGTTCACCATCGAGGATGTCTTCCTTTTCAATCATGAGAACGTGAATCGTTTTTCCATCCTCATGCAGTGCGGTTGGAAGATTTCTGCTCAAGTAAAGTGGCACAATCCATTTTTTTCTGATTCTTCGTCACTATCAATTCCATATACATTAATCGACAAATTCATTCATTTTCTCAAACTTTGGAATGTTTTTTAATGCCATGGGGTAATTGAAGTCACCAAAGATTTTCATGATAGTACTAAAAGGGGGGTATGAGTTAGGTCATTTCTTGTCTTGAACGTTGCAACGAGCGGCCATAATGGACCATAAAAAGCAGTAGGCATCGTCTTTATTTTGAACGTTCACGACAGTATGTTTCTTTTTAATCCATTCAGGTAGTTCAATAAAGCTAGATCCTCCCCGCAGTGGATTATATTTATTCATATTCACTTCTAAATTAATGATGTCAACTAATCTCCAGCCAGACTATCTTTCCTGGACTCATCCGCTTTCACTAGTTTTTCTCTTATGTGTTCATCAAACCACTGCCTCATATCAGTTGAATCAAGAATTATTTCATTTTTTGTATTGAAATATTTCTCTTCTTCAATAAGATGTTCATCTCGATTAATTTCATATTTTCATGTTAATACTACATTCACTTTCAAACTTCCTTCTTGTTTTAATGCATTTTTTAAACGTACAGAGAGCATTCGTCTAGCATCATCTAAAAATTTGGGTACGTCTGGATTTTTCACGTTAATGATTACACCGATCCTCATACGACCCTCAAAAACACTTTGTAATTCCTCCCATCGGGCACTATCAGTTAAATTACCCCTTAAGTCACCTCCAATCACTTCGAAGTTTCTGAATCTTGCATAGAACGCTTTCAATCATCCTAACATGTGAGTTAAACGTCTTTTTTCACTATGACTCGCACTCCTCTTCAATAATTCCTTTCGAATATCCTCTGATGTGATTAAGCCATTGTTGAATTTCCCTGGGTCTCCTGTTCATTTTCACTATTTCATACGCATCCTCCAATGACCTCAATAATCTTTTACAAGCGTTAGGATCCATGTTATTCACAATAACGGAACTAAAGGACTAGTGGAAAATCAAGGTGAAATTTGTTTATACAGATACATATGTGGGTGTGCCTGCGCTTGTACACTCTGTAAAATGTTACGTGATTGGTTGAAAAAGAATCATGTGACTCATGGAAAATGATTAAGAAAATAGCAACACTTTTTGTTCATGGGAAACAAAAATATCTGAAAACTCTACTCGATAAAATTTCATCTTTGCGGTGCGATAAGACATCAAAGGGTCCGAAAACTCTGCTCCAGTTTGTCAAACATCATGGTCTTAGGGTTGTGAGTACACGTACGTTCCCAGATAAACCGAGATAGTCTATGTAAACAAAAGATTGCGTTCGGGCATCTTCCAATGCATTTCCATCCTTATCGGTTTGTAGCAAATGAAGATTTTTCGGAAACTCCTCCTACTACAACGTGTGCAATTTTTCGAGGACTATGCATAATTGGTGGGGGTACCTAAGTTTTTGGATGACTGATCCTCTACATTTGCAGACAGAGTGATATCATCACTAAAGTGAAGAACATCTCCAAAAAATCTAGTAAGATGAATCCAGGACGTGAAGAGGATTTTGCGATGGTGCGCGCGGGTTATGTGACTGTGACGGAAAATGTGTGGTGTCCTTGGGAGTGGGTTGAGCGTGGTAGTGCTGAGTGGGTGTTGGCCCAGGTCTCGCAGAAAATAGCCCAACATTATTTGGATGCCCACATACGAAGGACTGGAGCAGACCATTTCATTAATCTCAACCTGCAGCCGGTGGGATATCTTGTTGTTGATGAGCTGGTGAACTGGCATATCTTCCTCCTGAGTGACGATTTTTTTGGATGGTGGTTTCCAAATCGATCGAACCGAGACGAGAGATTCGAGGATGATTCTGATGTCGGCAGTGGTGATGAGCCGGAAGATCACTATAACGGTCCTAGATTACCACCGAACCCGCAACCTCAGGCGGGACCTGACGAGGAATATGAGTCTGAGGGGGAGTCTGAGGAGGAATCTGAGAGGGAGGTGTATGAACCATCTCAAGCAAGTAGTTTATTCTCGTAATTTCTGAAATTTAATATTTAGGAAATTTTTAGGTACTGGAGATATACGCCCTACGCGTTTTGCATGTGGCGCTATAATATGATTTTTCATTTCGTTTTATTGTAGTTAGAAAAAAAGAATATATATATATATATATATATGTTTGAGGTGAATTTGAGAGTGAATTTCTGTGGTTCCCGGTAGCTTAGTCGGTAAAAGTGCCCGGCGCGTATCTGGGAGACACGGGTTCGACTCCCGGCTGGGTGAAGCGGAAATTTTTTCTCTCTAAATTCTAATTCTCTTAGAGTTTTTTAATGCCTAAAGGAGGTTAGGCGGTGTTTGAGGTGAATTTGATAGTGAATTTCTGTGGTTCCCGGTAGCTTAGTCGGTAAGAGCACCCGGCGCGTATCTGGGAGACCCGGGTTCGACTTCCGGCTAGATGAAGCGGAAATTTTTTCTCTCTAAATTGTAATTCTCTTAGAGTTCTTTTTTTTTTACAAAAACTTCATATGGATAACGTGAATTTTTTTATAATGGATACATTCTTTATCCTTTTTCGTTTTTGCAGTTTGTGGAGTATGTGATCCTCATCCCCTGGGTGCTGATACCTGCAGCTTGGCGTGCGCAATATCCTAGATCGTATCTGGAACAAGCTGCAGCCCGGGCCATCATGATGATCCACGTAGCCACTGAGTTGATCGACTTGACCGTGAATTTAGAGCCTCCTGCAATCCTCATCGCAAATGAGGATTATTATTGGTTCTGAAGAGAAGAATAAGATGTGGTTTCTATTAAAGGATTATTCTGTGCAAAGTGTAAAAAAAATGTAACAAATAAAACTTCAATTTCGTTTAAAATCAGTGTTTGTTTATTTCAAGTGTATGTTTTGGTTTTTGGTTCCCTTTAACAAGGGAATCACCCGCAAGCCGCGCATTAATTAACCTTTCCACGGAGGTACATTTGACCAGGTCGTCGATAGAGTCCCATTTGATTGGAATGGCGCGAATTAAGTTGATTGTTCCGCGAATTGAAACCGTGAATTAATCAATCGATCCGCGAATTAAACCCTAATCAAACCGCGACCCGCGGATCACACCGCGAATTACATGTTGACCCGTGAAGTAATAAACCCTTGCACCCACTGTCTCGTGGGGGGCGTGGATTGACAAGTCGTCAATAGAGCCCCATTGGACCGAAAAAAACCGCGAATGAAATTAATTGACCCACCAATCAAACCGTGAATTTAATCAATTGATCCGCGAATCAAGTCCGCGGATCCGAGAATTAATCAACCACCCACCCACCCACTTTTATCTAACCCCCCTACTGGGCCCCAACGCCCAGGTCTTGACTAAAACGTTGCCCCAGAAGCGTGTAACGAGATTTTCTCGTTACAGGTTGAAATCCCCGTAAAACGATATGTGAACTCTTAACATCATTGAAGAGAAATAAGTAGTGACATGTAGAGGCGGCTGAAGAAAGCCGAGACTAGATGAGATGAACCACAAACCGTTGGAAGACCTAAGGCATAGCGGTTATGGGTGAAACCGCGATCCCTGGAGGTCTGGAGGATGTTACTAGACTATCGCTATTTTGGAATTCATCCAGCATGTGCTAGGAGAAAAAGGGCCGACGTACAGGCTGTCCAACTGGGCGATTCCATAGGCTATGTCAGAGTAGACTAGGGACCAACGGCCAGGTGAGAGGATTGTTGCCCCCGGGATCCCGTCGGGTTGATTGGTGGGGATAGGGTAACGGAATGACCTATCGTCGCCCAGATATCCAGACTAGGGGAACAAGGCCCTAATAAGATTCTGAGTTAGTAGAACGCGGACGCTCAAGCGGGGAAGTCGAAAGGATTTTTCCGATATATACTGTTGTGTTGGCTTGGAAGATGGCCAAGAGAATGGTGGGCGAATAGCTCAGCGCAGCCAGGTGCATAACTGATGGTAGCGAACGTATAGGGATGCTCCTGCATCCCCCACAAACGGGAAAAAGTGTTATTTCGGAACTCTTAGTGACGACTTTGTTGTTCCCGGCGTTATCCGGCTCGGCGAAACAAATGACGAGCGCATGGGCCCGTGGGTCTGGAGTAGAGATCGTCCTCCTGTCGACCCAACCATGTGCCGACATTCGTGTACCCGGAGACGGTAACGTGCGACGACCGAAGCGGTAACTGGTGGCCGAGAGTGTGGGTGGTCGTGAAGTGGGTAACAGTGTTCCACTTTGGTCGGTTCAGCCACTCGGCGTCCCAGGCTCTGAGGAGTCCCGGCTGATTCGCATTTAATTTTGAAACACTCCCGAGTCGAAATACTCGAGAGGAGAAAGAGAGAGTGAAAAACCTTCCAGGACGAGGGTAAATTTAATTTGCATGGATGATTAGGCCGCGAGGCTTAGTTTCCAGCCTGGAACAGTGGCTGATGACGTTTGGCATAGGATACTCCTGGTGGACCTCGCCCACCCGTGAAGGTTCGGCTGGCGCCCGATTATTGAGCGATAGAGTAGGCATAAAAAGTAGTTTGGATATTTCCTGGGTGAACAACCCGGGAAAATATCGTTACAAAATAGCGCCCGATGTGGGGTCACGCCAATGGAGTAGAAAGAAAACCCTGAAAATATGGGTAAGTGGAAATTGTCGTATAGATAATGCGAGGAAAATCTAGAAATTGATTTTCGTCGAAAGTAACGAATTTTATTTATTCCTTGAAAAGGGAAAAAATAGGATTCGAAATGCACATAATTTTTGTCGTGGGGAGATTTTTTCAGAAACTCGAGGTTTTGTCTCCTTGACACCCGGAGGAGATGGCCTTGAAGAGACGAGTTCATTTATCCCCGACGAAAATTCTAAAGCATCGATTTTTCGCTTGGGAGGGGTTATTCCGGCTGCTCTGAGTGGTGTTCTCTTCGCCACCCGGGGGAGGGTGGTCTCAGGTGCGGGGCATTTCCCTTCTTCGATCGGAAAATCGAAGAAAGCGAGTGAAAAACGGCGAGAATTCGGAAAAATTGAATTTTCCTCTCATAAATATGCAAAAATGCTGAAAGACGCATTTACCGATGCCCAGTAAAGAAGACTATCCTGAAAAAGGATAGCATTAACGACTGCAGATGTAGGCGGTACGGTTTCCGCCTGCGAGGACAAGCCATGCGACGGACAAATCGCGCGAAAGATGAAATTGATACCTCTGATTGATGTAAATCAAGGGTGTTCAAAAGGACTAAATAAATATGTAAATTTAGGTCAGACTTCAGGTCACTAGAGGGGACCACTGGCGGCGATTAATCAAATTGATACGCGCCCTAATCCCCCCACCCCCAACACCTGTGAAATTGGGGGAAATGACCACGAGGAGCGTCCTTTTCCATTTTGACCGCGTAGGCGACAAGACGTCAAATTTCTCGACGCTCCTCGGAGACGAAAACTAAGATCCGTGCACGTGGTGAAATACCCGTGAGTGATGCAGGACGAAGTGTTAGACAGTTTGGTGCAGAAGGTGGTGAAAACCGCAGAAGGAGCCCAAAGAGGTAAGTCGGACTCTCTGGAGTCCGAAGTTAACCTTCAGTGTGGAAAATCCCTGGAAGGAAGTAGAGCGGATGGCTCATCAGTGCCGCAAGGCACTGAAGAAACCGCCTCGTTGGATTTCACGGCCCTTTGAATTTCAGATCGGGCCTTGACGGAGGCAGAACAGGCCGAGATGGCTTTGCTGATGGCGATGGACGAGGAGGAGGGTGAAATTCCCCCACCTGCGTTCGAGCCTCTGGCGGCGGTGTCTCAGGTGGTAGAGATTACCACGACAGCTCCGTCTCCAGTCGCAGAAGCAACTCGGGCGAAAACCCCGGATGAGAAGGACGCCTTGGTGAGGAGTTTGGCGGCCATACTGGTCGAGCACCCCGAGTTGATGGCAACGATGCTTGCACAGTTGCCACTAGCCAACCCGGAGCCCTCCACGTCGGCTGTGCCGCCGCCTCCTCCCCAAGAGCAGATGGATGTCGAGAACGAAAAGACCTCTTACGCGTGGGTCACAAAGCACGGGCGAAAATCCCGTGAGCCGACCTCGAGGACGAGGGACACCCCTGCAGCCCCAGCGCTGGTCCCTGAGGCCAAGGAGAGGAGCTTCAAAGCCGAGGGGAAACTGCCGAAAGGCAGGAAGGAGAACCTCGCTATGGAAAACAATTTCTTTAGCGTAGGCTTCTAACACGTGAGGCATAAACCAAATGGAGGTTATGGGTCCCCCCGAACTGGATTTCTCCATGTTATGAGGAAACGTTTCTTACGATGTTCCTAAAAAACGAATCCGTGATAGATTGATAAACTCCGAATAGGGTGAATTTTTCATAAAATTTAGCACTACATAGTTTCTGCAAGATTCAACTCCGAAAAAAGGGAATTTTTTAGAATCATTTGTTATTTGATAGAAACATCACTGAAAGTACGCATTCTTGAATGCCACCCTACTTAAATACACAACAAATTTGACACAATTGAATTTTGCACTCACATTAAGTCCACACAAAAGTATTAAACACATATTATTCTCAACCGTTCAAAAATGCACATACATCTAATTCCACAACGCCTTTCAACACCGAGAAAAAAAAATTTCTAATGCCTGAAACATATTTTCTTGAGAGAAGTAAATTATTTTCAATGGCTTAAATCTCAGAATGTGTGCACTTCACGGAACTCGAATGGATTTTCATTCATCACTATCGTTCCGCGTTACGTCATGAATATTTTACATATTGCAATATTGGAAGTGCCTAACGAAAAACTCATGAAAACAATAAAGACTAGAAGATTGACAATTCTTCTATGCGATTTAAATAAAAAGAAAAAATTCTAAGAGAATTAGAATTTAGAGAGAAAAAATTTCCGCATCACCCAGCCGGGAATCGAACCAGGGTCTCCCAGATACGCGCCGGCCACTCTTACCGACTAAGCTACCGGGAACCACAGAAATTCACTCTCGAATTCACCTCAAACACCGCCTAACCTACCTTAGGCATTAAAGAATTCTAAGAGAATTAGAATTTAGAGAGAAAAAATTTCCGCTTCACCCAGCCGGGAATCGAACCCGGGTCTCCCAGATACGCGCCGGGCACTCTTACCGACTAAGCTACCGGGAACCACAGAAATTCACTCTCAGAATCCAATCAGAATCCTGCTCGATTAGACTGGGCTAATCACTCGGTTACTATGTCACGGCTCAGTTCATTTGCGACAAAATCATACTTGAGTACAAGAATATTTTAAAGCATGAGGCCTTTCTCGGGTCATGTGAGTTGAGATGCCTGAGAAAATTAAGCAATTGAAGAAAATTTACTTGTCTCAAGAAAATATGTTTCAGATATTAGAAAAATTTTTTCTCAGTGAACACACGGAAATTAACATGCTCACTAAGTACATAGGCAGTATTGTACTCATACATCACCAATTGAGTAACTATCGGAATGTGCACATGGGAAAGTGCACGACGGTTTTCTCCTCAAGATGAAATGGGCAGTTCAGATTTTTACACATATGGCGATTGGAACAGAACTGTTATGCACATGAAGATTTCCATATGTCAGTTTTGTTCGAGAGTGTTGTACACACAGTTTAGCTTTTCGTTAAAGATGTTTTCCAGCTATTGGTCAACAATTAAATATTATTCCATTGACAAATGCACTGCAGAATATTCCACATTGTAAGATATGAAGGTGTCAGAAGTGCACATTTATGAAATTATACATATTATTTGTGCAACAATAACTGAATTTCCATACTAA